CACTCACCTCAGCCTCCCAAAGGCGCGGGATTACAGGCTGAGCCACCAAGCCCAGCACAAACTACATTTCTAAATTGAATACTTACTAAACAGTTGTTCATCGCTTTAAGAGCAGATGAGTGAAAATTTTATGATTTGCATTTTTCTCTCAAGGAAACCCCTAATATGTAACAAAGTCAACCTAAACTGCTAAATGTAAACCACACTGGTGTGATTCTCACATTATTACTTCCTTTAGGGTATAACCATTAAAAAAAAAAAAAGGTTCCTGAACCAACCACTGTTAAAACATTTTTCTGGAAAAATAGAGAATACATTGTTATGGTTAATTTTATGTGTCAACTTGGATGGGCCACAGAGTGCCCAGATTTATCATTATTTCTGGGTGTGTCTATAAGGGTGCTTTCAGATGAGATTGGCATTTAAATGGTGGAATCAGTAAAGGAGATGGCCTCCCCAGTGTAGGTGGCACCAGCTAGTCCATTAAAGGCCTGAACAGATCAAAAGGAAATCTTCCCCTTCCTGCACGCCTGCTTAAACTGGGGCATCAATTTTCTCCTGTCCTTGACTGGAATTTATACTATCAGCTTCCCTGGCCCTCAGGTCTTATGACTTGGACTGGAGTTACACCCCTGGCTTTTCTGGGCCTCAAGCTTGCAAATGGCAGATCATGGGCCTCTCAGCCTCCATAACTTCCATAACCACATGAGTCAATTCCTTTCCCCTCATATAGAGACAGAGAAATATATGTCTCCTGTTGGTTCTGTTTCTCTGGAGAACCCCAACTAATACGTACACAAAATCTACTAACTGTTCAGAATAAAAGTGCCATTTTTAAGTGAAATATGAAATTATGGTTATTTTGGAAATGTGCCTGAGCAATAAAGAAAATTCACAAATTGGAATTTTTGCATGTTTTACTTTCTGCAACAATAAACAAAAAATTACTAAAAAAGGAAGTTTTAGACTTGTCTAGATATGAGTTTCCTATTTTCCTTTAGTGAGCAGAAACATGATGGTTAGATAAGAAAGAAATTGGGAATAAAATATTTTAAAAATAATGCATGAGATTTTCAGTCAGTGATATCTAAATTCTAACCTATGTTCCTTGACTTGCCAGCTTTGTGATTTTACAGAATAAAAAAGGCTTGATTTAGAAAGAAAGAAAAAAAAGGAAGGCTGTGTACATGGCAGGAAAGGTTAGGCTGAAGCTTTATGCCTATGCTCAGACCAAGACAGGCCAAAGTGATTTTTGGCAATGGGCCTTTGATTGCCTGATACAGTACTTAATTCCATAGGTGTCAGGGATAACCACGAGACAAGGTCTTTACCACAGAAACAAGTTCACTAAAAACTAGAACAACAACTGACAGCAAGTTGAGGCACCTGAGTCTGACAAAGGCTCTGCCTCAACAGGGTTCTACAAGCCCTTCTGCTCCTGAGGACTTTCTCCTATTAAAAGACTTCCCGTTTCAATCAGCAGGAGGACAAGGACAGACAAAAAGTGTGGGTGCTAGACGGCAATCTGGGTCAAACCACACAGAGAATGCACTGTACTCGTAGGGACTCACTGCTTGTGGTTTATGAAGCAGAGTGTAAGCATCTGTGATTAAAAGTAGGATCCTGGGGGGTGGGGGGCATTGGAAAAAAAAAAGTGGGATCCTTATTTCAATTCAGGCTCCTTTGTTTGTACTAAGAATTTCATTTCCCACTTCCCAATTGATCTAACATATTGTAATGTAATTGCTGTATTAGCATTTCAGAGTACATATTCCTTCTTACCTGCATTAAAATATAGTAAATTCCAGCCATGCCATGGGCGGCTCCAACATATTGCTTCCTGTGCCATTGATATAATAGGGGGCAGCGCTCAGTTTTTCTTTCTTCCCTTGACAAAGTCTTACCCGATTCAATAATAGCATCAACTACCTACAGAAATAATGAAACAGGATAAATCTAAAAAACTTAAATGCATCCTGTTCTAGTCTAATTAACACTAACAACACACACACATATGTGAGAGAGCGATAATCTAAAAATATTTAAACAGCAGATAACAGTTAGCTTTATTTTATAAATTAATAAATGCAGGCAGAGAGAATTCAGACAAAAATGTCAGAGTAGAAAAAATATACTAAGAAGTCTAGTAATCAAAAATTATTTGTATGAAAATGCTACTAAAATCTAGAAAAACTTCCTATAAAAACTGCCCCAAACTCCTCAGTTGCTTTGTTGCATCAACATTTTCCCCTAAAAGACCAACTACATCTTCCAGGAAAGGATAGAGGAACTGGCTTTATTCATGAAAAGCAATGAAACGAGGTCTATTGTGGTGTGAAGGATTTTTGTTAGATTGAAAGACCGTCATGTCTGGAATGACTATGTGGCAAAGACACTCATTGTTTCCTCATGTCCATTCTCTGCTCATCCTTTTGGGAAAGTACTCTTAGTTTTAGGTGGGCATCTGCCTAGCTACAGACAGCTGAACACAGTCATTTGACATGAGCAGAAGTGGGGTGGCAACTTGTAGATGAAGTCCTTAAAAAGGAAGCTGTGTACCCTCTAGTTTGCTCTTTCTCCCTTCCACAGACTGGGAGTCTAGCCTAGCTTTGGTCATGCAGATGAGGGTATGCCCCTAGGGCAGAACAGATGGAAGAAGCTGGTCCCTGACCCTATCAACCTGGATTGCTTACGAGTCAGACATCTCAAGAAAAAGAAGCAAACATTCTAATTTTCTGAAGCGGCTGCTGTTTGGTTCCAGTAAAAGCAGCTGAATTAATAAAGAATGTTCATAGAAAGAAAAACGGGACTTTTTTTTTTTTCTTTTTATGAGATGCTTTACAAAAGTAATGCTAACTAGAAGCAGAGTCCAGCCATTAATATATGTTATCAGATAGATTTGGATGGTGGAGATGAGAGTATGCCCATAGTTGTCAGTAATCCCACAATACCTCTTTAATAGCTGACTCACACACGGTGTCTGGACCGATCTCCGTGTTCAGGTAGAGTAAGGCATACAGGTAACCTGCCCGTCCATAAAGCAGCTCATCAGGAAGCTCTGATTCTTGGCAGACAACGGCTCTCTGGAGCTGCAAAAGTCTAACCAACAAGAAAAAGTCTGTTTTCCCAGATAATGTCTAATACACATCTTCCTGAAACACTAAGCAACTGCATCACTTTAGGAACTACCTGTTATGTATTTCAAAACTCAAAACTCTTTTTTCCTTATTTCTTTATAGACTGGGTCTCACTCTGTCACCCAGGCTGGAGTACGGTGGCACGATGAGAGCTCACTGCAGTCTCGAATTCCTGGGTTCAAGCGATCCTCCACCTCAGCCTACCAAGTGGATGGGACTACAGGTGTGCACCACCCTGCCCCAATGATCTTTAATTATTCTGTAAAGACAAGGTCTCACTTTCTTGCCCAGGCTGGTCTCAAACTCCTGACCTCAAGCAATCCTCCAACCTTGGCCTCCCAGAGTCCTAGAATTACAGGCAAGAACCACCACACCTGGATAAATTTAAAACTCTGATTAAACTAAAAATCCCAAACCCAGAAAACTACAAAAACTTCTCCATTTCACTAGTTCTTCTCTCAAATGTCAAAGTTAAAAATAAAACATCTTTTTGTAATTTCTACCTTTATATCTATTCTAAATGATGCAACAGAAGATTTCACGCTGAAATCCAGAATTAAAAGAAAGTGATTTACAATTTAAATTAAAATGGTATTAAAATGTAGCCAATGCTTGGGAATTAGCTTGTCATTTTGTCTTTCAGCAAATATTAACTGACTAGTATGTATACCAGATAATCTACCAGACCCTAGCAGTGAGCCCTGATTTCTGCTTTCTCAAGGAAGAATACACACCAATAGGTGCTATAAAAGCTTATATTTCCTAATTGGTCCATTAAGTTATTGTAGTGGATCTAAGCACATAGCTAATTTTAGTGGCATTGACGACAATCACAAATTGCTTAGGCAGAATGATTATAGTAACTTAAAGAATGTTTATTCCCCCCAAAATTAAGGCCTATGTATGCTTGGATAGAAAGAAAGCATATGTTCAAAATTAATATACCAACTGCTTCACTCGGGAGTGTAACAGTGGATGAATTAAAACATAATTTCCTTTTGAATATCTCTCTACAGCAAGAGCTTCAACTGAGAATTGGGAGACAATGTTTCCAGGCTTAAAACTCACTTTGTGATGCATTCCTGGGACTCATAATCACTTTTGAGCTTATGATATATCACAGCTCCTACAGCAAGGGGCCCAGCATCTCCACAGAGGAAAGTAACCCTGCGCCCATTCAGATTCCGAAGTGTTCTCTTCACATAATCCAGGGATCGGAGCAGGTATGTCTGGTCACACGTGACCCGGTACAACTGCAGGTACAAAAGGGCTATGCCTGGAATGATTCCCCACCCCAAAAGAAAAATAGTATTACATTTTCTTTCCACCTGCAGGACATTCTTTTGTAGTTACATGAAATACTTTCTTTGACATAAACCCTATGTTTCTGAGGACGCAACATCAAAAAAAAAAATTATATATCACACATTTCTAAAAAAGTGAAACAAAAATAAAAAAAAAAAAAAAAACAAGACAGATAAGTCAGGGTGGAAAAAAACATAAAACAGATTTAAACATATCATCTTACTAATTGTCCTGGCACAGTGACTTAGTACCTCTTACTCTAGACAAGAAAGGATATACCACTTTCCACTCATTGCCAGTTAATTTTCATTAACTCAAAAGTTGTATACATTCTCCTTTGTATTAAGATAAACTTAATTAAGCTTAAGAGCTTACTTGAATCCTTTTCTTTTTACTTCTCATATAACCATTTCTTTCTATGTTATCCCAAATTAAACGATTACTTTTTGGAATTTTTTTTACCCTCTTCTTCCTAATTTTTTTTTTTTCTATTTTTTGCAATGTTTCCATTTTCTTTAGTGAACAACCCATCCAACTGACCAACCAACCAGTGAGTTGGCTCTCCATTTATGGGATAATCACAAGATGCAGAATTAGGTGACCAGTTCAGAGGGCATAGTTTACCATCTGTCTAACTTTTCTATTTCAGGATAAAGAACAGACCCAGATCTTCAAATGAATCAGACAGGGGTCTCTGTCTGAGACTCTCTGGAGGAGGACCTATGGCTTCTTATGGAAGCACACTGAAAGGAAAGAGCCCCAAATGGAATTTCTCTGAAGCCAGACAATAATCCTTTCCTGGAACCCTGGGTGAGTCACAAGACACAAATTCCTTAGAATTTGTCTTTCATCTGCCCCTCTCATCTATGTGACTGGCCTGCCCATCTGTCTGGTCATCAGGGAGGTAACAGACTCCATCACCATGGCAATAGTCACGTGACTAGCCCACCTATCTGACTGCTCTCCTTCATGTCAGTACCTGTGCTCACCTGTCTTTTGTGATGATGTAAAACAGACTACCACCCAATCACCTTAACAACCTGCCCCAAACTCAAACAGCCACCACCACTATTGCTAAGTTCTGGCTCAGTCATGTGTTCAGTAAGCTATGGCCAGGTCATGCTTCTCTTTAAGCTCTGGTCTCCTCTTCAATCTGGGGAAGGTGAATCTCCCTTTTCTCGCTCTCTCAAAACTATATTTTCGAATGAAACTTCTATGTAATTCTTTGCATCTTACCCGTGGCACCAGATCACAGACCCCCCTGTCTGACCTAAAACACATTTTTATGCCTGGGCTCAAGAAGGCATAAGAAAAAATTGAATCAGTATAAATATATATTTAATAAAGTCTACTACAGCAAAAAGTATTGACGTAGATAAGATGATGGTGAAAACGCCAAACAAAACATTTCTTTAAGTTTGAACTGATGTTCTTCAACATTCTGGTCTTTGTCTAATTCCTACTCTGACTCTTAGTACTTATACTTTATTTATACACACACACATATATACACACACACATATACACATATAAAGGATATATATATATATACATAGAGAGAGAGAGAAAAGAGAAGAGAGGAGAAGAGAGAAGACACACACACACACACACACACACACACACACACACACAGGGTCTCACTCTGTCACTCAGGCTGGAGTGCAGGGGTGCTATCCCAGCTCACTGCAGCCTCAACCTCCTGGGCTCAGGTGATCCTCCCACCTCAGCCTTCCCAGTAGCTGGATTACAAACGTACATCACCATACACGGCTACTTTTTGCATTTCCTGTAGAGATGAGGTCTCTGTTGCCTAGGCTGGTCTCAAACTCCTGGGCTCAAGCAATCCTTCTGCCTCACCCTTTGGCTTCCCAAAGTGCTGGGATTACAGGCCTGAGCCACCATGCCTGGCTACTATTTTGCTTTTTAAGTTTCTCTAAATATTTAGCTGCTTCATTCTTCAATTACTCTATTCAGGGTATCCCATTCCTCTTTGAAATTAATCCTTAAAACCTTTTAAAGTTTTTTTGAGAAGTCCTTTCATCATTATCCATTTCTCTAATGAAGTTGAATCAAACAGATCTGAAGTAGTATACTTGTGGGTTCTGAGATAAATTATTTTGTTTGAATTGCTCATCATCTCCTTCAGTGCATGTTTTCTGTATTCAAAAAATATAAATTATGAACACAGAGAAAACAGATAGCAAAAATTAAATACCAATAGATCTCAAACATAATAATCACTATAAAGGCTCATACATAAGTAGTCCCTGATTAACTCAGAAATCTCTAAAACCATGATGCTGATCTAGTTAACCAGTGAACTTAAAATCCTATAGTTGTATACACTTAATGCTTAAGTATTTTGAAGTAAATGATAACAGGTAAAGTACAAAAAAGTCACAATGTTTTGTAACTTTTTGCTGAAATGCCAACATGTTGCACAACATAAAAGGAGCCTGTGGTAAGATGTAGGGGGAGAGAAAGCAGTCTACAGGTCTCAGTCTTCTGAAGAGCTGTGAACTGACGATCAGGTTTCAGTTTTCTGGTGAGCTGTCAACTGACCATCAGGTCTTAGTCTTCTTGTGAGCTGTGAACTGCACTAGTGCCTCTAACCTCTAACCCCTTAGTGGGTCAGGACGGCTAGAGGCAGCTGGAGTTAATCACTTCCCTTCCCCAAAGCTGAAGGCTAGAGCCAGCTGGTATTTCCCTTCCCCAGGTAGGTTACCAGGTGATCTTTTATGTTTCCATATGAATTTCTGTATTGTCGTTTCCAAGTCTGAGAATTATGTTGGTGATTTAATGGGTACTGTGCTGAATCTGTAGATTGCCTTTGGTAGGATAGATATCTTAACAATGTTGATTCTTCCAGCCCATGAGCATGGAATATTCTTCCATTTGCTTGTGTCTTCTTTGATTTCTTTGCACAGTGTTTTGTAGTTTTCATTGTAAAGGTCTTTCACTTCTCCAATTTGAAATGATGCTAAGGTCCTTCCGTCCATCCTCCTTCCTTCCTTCCTTCGTTTTTTGTGGTTCCAGTGAATGGGGTCATGCTTTTTATTTTGTTCTCTGCCTGTTTGTTGTTGGTGCATAAGAATGTGACTGTCTTCACATTTATTTTGTACCCTGAGACTTTGCCAAAGTCCTTTATTGATGCAAGGAGGTTTTTGACAGATTCTCTTGGGTTTTCAAGGTACGGGATCATATGGACAGCAAAGAGGGATAACTTGATTTCTATTTTTCTATTTGGATACCTCTGATTTCCTTTTCTTGTCTGATTGCTCCAGCTAGGACTTCCAACACTATGTTGAACAGGAGGGGTGAGAGTGGGCAGTCTTGTCTTGTTCCAATTTTCAGGGGAGATGCTTCCAATTTCTGTCTGTTTAGCAATATTTTGGCTGTGGGTTTATTATAGATGGCTCCTACTATTTTGAGGTATGTTCCCACTATGCCTAGGTGTTCAAGGGCTTTTGTCAAGAAAGGATGCTGGATTTTATCAAAAGTTTTTTCTGTGTCTAATGATATAATCATGCGGTTCTTGTTTTTATATCTGTTGATGTATTTAATTACATTTATGGTCTTGTGGATGTTGAACCAGCCCTGCATTCTGGGAATGAAGCCTACTTGGTCATGGTGAATGATTTTTGAGATGTGTTGTATCTAATTTGCTATAATCTGGTTAAGAATATTTGCATCTGTGTTCATCAGGGATACTGGCCAGTAGTTCTCTTTCTTTGTTGGATCTTTATCTGGTTTGGATATCGTTGTGATGTTAGCATCATAAAATGATTTAGGGAGAGTTCAGTCTTTCTCGATTGCCTGGAATACTTTCAATTTGATTGGTATCAGCTACTCCTTATATATTTTGTAGAATTCCACTGGAAAGCCACCTGGTCCAGGGCTTTTTTTTTTTTTTTTACTTAGTTTTCTTATGATGGAGTTGTTATTGGTCTATTTAGGGTCTCAGTATCTTCTTGTTTCAACCTTGGAAGGTTGTGTGATATCAGAAAGTCCTCCATTTCATTTAGGTTTGTGAGTTTGTTTCCATACAGGTATGCATAGTATTATCTGACAATCTTTTGTATTTCTTTGGGGTCAGTTGTGACCTGATCTTTTCTGTTTCTTTTTCTTGGTCAATCTGGTAAGGGGTCCATCAATCTTGTCTATCCTTTCAAAGAACCAGATTTTTGTTTTGATTTTTTTCTATATTTTTGTCCCATATTTAGAGTTTTACTTTGGTAATCTGGATTCTTCTGTTGAAGTCAGGGTTTTAGTGGTCCTGTCTTTCCAGTTCTCTTAGGTGACTTGTTGGGCTGTTAACTTGCAAACTTTTTATTTTCTTGATGTGTGTTCATAGAGATTAAATTGTGATCTTTCCATTTTCTTGTGCTTGTAGAAATAAATTCCGCTCTTAGTACTGTTTTCATGGCATCCCAGATGTTTTGGTAAGATATTTCTTCACTTTCATTTGTTTCGAGCAATCTTTTGAGTTCTGTGTTGACCCAGTAATCATTAAGCATCATGCCGTTTAGTGTCCATGTCTTTGTGAGTCTTGGGGGAATTTTGTTGGTGTTGATATTTATTTTTATTTCACTGTGGTCTGAGAAAGTACATGGCAGTATTTTGATATTGTGAAACTTGTTTGTGCTTAACTTATGGCCAAGGATGTGGCCAATCTTGGAGTACATTCTATGTGGTGACGAGTAGAATGTTCCATTATTGTTGGGTGGAGTATTCTGCAGGTATCTATCAAGTCCATCTGGACAAGCATCAGGTTGAGGTTCCAGATCTCTGTGTTGATTTTTTGCTTCAATGATCTATCTAGGGTTGCTAGTAGGGTGTTTAAGTTCCCACCTATGATAGTGTTAGAGCTAATATCTTTTTTTAGTTTACTTAGTAGCTGTTTTATAAAAGTTCGTGCTCCTGTGTTGGGTGCATGTATGTTTAGGATGAATACTTCTTATTGATGGATTGAACCTTTTATTATTATATAGTGTCTTTCTGTTTCTCTTTAAGTTTTTGATAATTTAAAGGTTGTTTTATCTGATATTAAGATTGTGACTCCTGCCTTCTTTTTTGTTCTATTCACCTGAAAATTTGCTTACAATCCTCTAACTTTGAATCTGTGAGAGTCCTTTGTATTGAGATGTTTCTTGAAGGCAGCAAATCATTGGGTCTTTTTTTTTTTTTTTTTTTTAATCCAGTTTGCCATTCTGTCTTTTCAGTGGTGCATTTAGTCCATTAATGTTCAGGCTGATTATTGAGATGTGAGAGTTTATTTATGTCATGAGGTTCTTTAAAGTTCTTTGTTGTTGCTGTTTGTTTGTTGATTTTCTTTTAATTTTGGAGTTGATATATGTGTTTTTTCAGTTTTGCAGTCATGATACATGTTGTGTTGCTTCTGTTTTCCTGCATTCTTGGGAAGAGCATGGTCATTTTTTTTCTTTGTTCTGTGCTTAATACCTTTTTAAGAGTCTGTTGTAGAGCTGGTCTGGAGGCAGCATAAACTCTTAGGGATTGAATGTCAGCAAAGGATTTTAATTATCCATCACTGATGATGCTTAGCTTAGCTGGGCAGAAAATTCTTGGCTGGAATTGCTTATCCTCGAGAACTTTGAAGATTGGACTCCAGTCTATTCTAGCCTGTAGTGTTTCTGTAGATAAGTCTGCCGCTATTCTAATTGGTCCTCCCTGGTAGGCAGTCTGATCTTTCTTGCTGTCTTTGGAATTTTTCTTTTATACCTGCTTTGTATAAGTAAACTACTACGTGTCTAGGAGTTGGTCTTCTCATTTGCTGCCTTGCAGAGGTTCTCTAAATCTCTTGTGTTTGGATGGTTGCATCTCTGATAAGATGAGGGAAGTTTCCTTGTATAACCTCATGGAATGCTTGTTCCAAGGTAGTCTCTGTCTCCCTTTCTGCCTCATGGATGCTGATTGGGCATAAGTTCAGCCTTTTAATATAATCGCATATCTCTTGGAGGCTTTGTTCAGTCTTTTAAGTTTCCTTTCTGTTTTTAACAGTTTGAGTTAGTTATATATTTCAGTTTTAAAGCTCTGAGATTCTTCTGCTTGGTTAATTCTGCTTTCCATGTTTGTTAGTTTGTTATTTTGTTCACTGTATTCTTTATTGCTGTCACCTTAGTTGTCAACCCTTTCATTCTTTCTTATCTTTGTTTTTATCCACCCTCTCCATCAATACCTTGGTATCTAGATTTGTGGTTTGAGACCAGTTGTTCTGGGGGCTCTTCACTGTTTCAGTTCTGAAGTCTGTATTCTCAGGTGCTGTCTTTCCAGGGGTCTGGGGGGGTACCTGTGTTCTTCCGTTGATTCTTCTTCATTTGTGACATATTTTCTCACCCTTTTCATTTCTCCCCTTTTTAATTACATTGCTCAGTGATGAGGGGATAGCTTTCACATCTGTTTGCTCAACCCCCTATTCTTCCTGAGGTAGAGCCTCTGGATTTGTTCAATTTTGAAGCTGGGCTGGGGGTGGGTGCTATGTGGTCTTTTTGCAATTTTGAGATTTGATTAAGGTATAATGGGGGGGAGCACAGTTCAGAAGCTACCTGCAGATCACAGTACTCACCAACTGGGATCTGAGCCCCCTGGAATCCACTTCCCACTGCCTTACAATATGTTCATGCGGTGGAAGCATAAGTATACTCCTGAAACCAAAATGACATAAGAGAAGGGAAAAGAACAGAGAAGAAAAAGAGGAAAAAAAGGAAGATGAAGAGAATGTATAACATGGAAAACAGACAAGCAAATGAACAAATAAAACAAACAGGAATAAACAAACAATAAAAAAATGAAGATACTATCACCCTCAAATATACCCATACACAAAAAAGAGGGAGGAAAGGGGGCAAATCTTATCAGAAGACACACACTGAAAGATATGTATAGACAGAGCAGACAAAAAATAAAAATAAAATAAAAATGGACTCCCTCTTGTGGCCATTTCTGGAACTTCAGGTTCCTTTTTTTTTTTTTTTAACTTGCATGTCCCGAGCACCCCAGGAGCTGCCCTGAGAATGTCGGATGTTCTTTTACACACAGGAGGAGGGAGGTGATGAGGAGGGGGTGCTGAATTTACAGCAGTGGTAAATTGCAGCCGCTTCTGCAGGGTGCCCTGAGTGCTTGATCTGTGTTTCTCCTCAGTCAGACATCAGCTTGTGTACACACACACACGCAGATTCTCCTGTGTATAGACTCACAAACTCCAACAGATTCTGTTGCCATCTTGCCCCTCCCCAATTTTTCTTTTTTCCCTTACACTATAGACACAATAGTTAATTTTTTTCTTAAACTTGAATACACCGAATTTTTCTGAATCAGCTATGAGCATAAAGAATCCCTAAAAGAGAAAAATGGTTGGACAGCTTTCCCAGTGTCATATCTCAAGCAAAGACTCCTCTTGCTAAGTGATGAATAACAGTTTATTTACTAGATGGTGACTGGTAGCCAGAATTCCTTTGACTCCTGTAACCTTTCTTGTTTCAGGAGCATGGCCCCACTGCTGCTTGCCTTCTTCCTGACACCATCAGCCAGTGCCACCAAGGGTGCCATTTCTGCCTTGGAAGCAAATCCTCCTCTTTTTCCTAAAGAAGTAGTGCCCTCTTAAAAGTCTACAACCTCTGCTTCCTGTGCACTTTCCACGACTTTTTTCTCTGCCTCTCCAGCACTGCCTGCCCACGTGGCACTCAGATATGCCCACAAAAGTTCCCACTGAAGCTGTGGTCTGCTCCTTTGGTTTCCTTCCTGCTACATCGTGTGACTTTCCACACTCATTTTGGATGCTGCTTGTTTTTCACCAACACTGTGTTTTTTTCTGTCTCCTTGCTTTACTGAAGGGATTAATTGTGGATGTTTCATTTATTTTTCTTCTTATATGGTACGTTTTAAGAGACGAGATGGGAAGTTTTAGGTCAAAGCAGATTTCATACTTCTATGTGAACCCCAGTGCCCACTGAAACCAAATACTTCCATGATGGTTCTACCAGTGATTCCAATAGATGGCAACAAATAGGATTTATTTTTTTCCTTTGAGGCATTTTATTTGTACCTATACAAATTACATCCCTAAAAAAAGAATCCCAGGGCTTTCCCTCCTGTGCATTTCTTTCTTCTTCATAGTCTATAATGCCTGCTGAAGTCAGTACAATGAAACCAAATTGGAGGGATGAGCCACTTTTCTAACTCTTTGAGTTGCACATCAAATCTGAGGCTGATCGATCATACCACACTTGTTTAACCTACCTGTGAGGTTTATAACAATTTTTCCAGCTCTGTGATCATCAATGATTTCAAATTCACCAATGTAACCATGCTTCATCATCACAGTTAGAAACTGAATGATTACCTTGGAGCATGGTCTTAAAAAAAACTGGGATTTGTCTCTCCTTTTGGCATTATTGATGCTCTTGAGAGCATCAGTCAGGACATTCATGCATACCATGATGGCGGCACGGAAAGATGGCAGAAAGAGCCAGATAGGAATTTTTAAGAAATACTGATTTCTGACATCTACCTTCAGAGTTCCTAAGGTAATCCTTCTGGGATAGAGGCAGAGAATCTTGGTCTATTATAAAGTTATCTGGATGATGGTGATACATAGTCAGTTTGGGACTTAATCAGAAAAGTAAAAACCATTTTCAACAGCAAGAGGAAATGCTGTAAGTACAAGACATTTTAGGGAAAACTTGTGCTACTAATAGCTATGTCATTTTCCTTCCAAACTATCTTCATTCTTTGTATTTCACTTCAGGCTTACCACAGTTATCTAGTTTTGCATTTAGGATAAATGTCTTTGGTCCTGTAAGTGAACTGGCTCCATGTCTGCCTGGAAACAGTCTGAGGTTTGAAATGAGTTTACAAATTTGAAACATGTAATGTCTCTATGTAAGTGTCCCATGCAAAATAGGCAAACAATAAGTGAAGCATTACTAAAATGAATGTAAGTAGAAATAGAAATACAACATTTTAAGGGCTGCTGTGTTTGGTTTATGGTAGATCTAACACATATACATGTTTCTGTGCTGCTTACTAATTAAACTATAAAGATTTAATAAGAAATAGCTTAAATGTATATATATATAAATTGTAATTAGAGATTTAATAAAACTTCAGTCTGAGAACAAGATCTACCTTTTTTATCCTTATATTTCTCAAAAAACTACTACAATGTTCTGGTTACTTGGTAAAATAGCAAGAATGTAAAGATTAGTTAAGGCAAGTTAATTTTGAAACTATATTTTTTAATGTAAAGTGTAATTTTGGCTATTTAACTGTTATCATTAAAATAAAAACATTTTGTGTAAGATGAGTTAAATGAGTACGAGGAGTAGGGTAAATATTTTATATAACAGATCAGAGAAACCATAACACAAAACAGCAAAAACAACAAAAACTAACCCCAGGACAATTTGCTCTTATTATGCAGTTTTGTAGACAGCTGTATATGAAATTAAGTAAATAATGCTATAAAAATATGGTGTACTACATATTACAGTTCAAACTTCAAGTAGGAGGTATTTCTTTAACCATTAAAGACACAGTTTCAAGACTTCACTTAAAGGGTATAAAACTTTACCATTTTAAAAGAAAAGAACATTTCAAAGCCAAGTCTTGTACCTCATGATCTAAGAATAAAATGTATCAGTTACTTATAGCATTTCGTCTCACCTGTCCAACCAGTATAAGCAGAGCAGTCATGGGGATCAGCTGTCTTCAGCCCTTCTTCCATTTGCTGTAGAAGATCTTTGATTTTGGTTTGGATTCGCTTTGTGAAATTATGGATGATCTGAGAAACAAAAGACAAGATACTTCAATTGCATAAGACTAGGAAAAGAGTAATAAGAGTAATTACTGGCACAGTAATAAGTATTTTAACCAACAGTATAAGTTGCAAAAGCATAACACAGGGAAGTGGAAGTTATTTTCTCTGCCCATCTCAATGCTTCATTGGTAGCTACCTTGGCTTTTATAAGGTTAGTTTTTTTAGTGAGATAATACCCTATATGGTTTGTAACTCACAAGCAGAATCATGAAAATTAACTCACAGAAATCAAAGAAAAAAGCCAGAAATGAAAAATAAAGATGGATTTGACTACATAAACATTTTCATTTCTATAAGATAAAGAACATAAGAAAGACAGTTTAAAAGCTAATGACAAAATAAAATAAAATAAAAAGCTAATGACAAGCTGGGTGCAGTGGCTCACACCTGTAATCCCAGTACTTTGGAAGGTGGAGGATAGAGGACTGCCTGAGCAACTTGGCCAGACCTCATCTCTACAATAAATCAAAAAATGAGCTGGGCGTGGTGGCACACACCTGGAATTCCAGCTACTTCGAAGGCAGAGACAGAAGAATTATCTGAGTCCAGCAGGTTGAGGCTATGGTGGCTATGAGTGTGTCACTGCACTCCAGCCTGGGTGACAGAGTGATACTCTGGCTCAAAAAATAAATAAATAAATAAATAAAAGTTAATGACAAAGGGCAAATATTTACAATATAAGATACTGTAAGTTTAAAAAGAACACAATACACAAATAGACCCAAATTAATGTACCTCAATGCAGAAAAAAAATTAAATAAGCATGTGCAAAAAAAGTGCATTTAGTGATTAATGAAATGCACATAAAAATAAAGTATCATGGTTTTCCTATCAGATTAACAAAGAATGAAACATATTGAAAAATTAAGATTCAAGGCTGCTAACAACAAAGGAAACAGGTATTCTTATCATTTCTGGTAGTCTTTTCCAAAAGAAATATGCAATATTTTTAAATACATAGTTGATCGGGTTGTTAAGATCTTTTCTGCTTTTATTGATTTTTAAATATCTAGTTGCTATCTCAATTACTCAGGGGGTATTAACTTCTCCAATTATGATTATGGAATTGCTTATTTCTCCCTTTAATTCTCTCTCTCTCTCTCTCTCTCTCTAGTTGCTTGCATATATTTTGAAGTTCTGTTATTAGTTGTAGATAACTTAATGACTTACATCTTCCTAATAAACTGACTCATTTTTATAATGAAAATGTCCCTCTGTGGGACTGTACAGAAAGTATTTAGTGCTTCTGTGCAAGTAGGGCTTTCAATGAAATTTTTACTACATTTGAGAATTCTGGACTAAAAGTAAACCTTAGGAACAAAGGTATAACCGTATATTCATAGTGAGATTCCTTAACACTGGATGTACGTGGTCACATTTCAAAGTATGGGAGGCTCCAGAACTGGGACACGTTTCTGCTTATAGGACTGAAACGAATGGCCTTATATTTCCATATAGAGATTTATGTACATTCTAAGGGGTTGGAGTAAGATATTTCTAATGAGACTCTCCCAGAAGAGGAAGGGGAGACAATTGCCTCTTTCCCCTTTATAAAAGCACAGAAAATCTATCATTCTTCATTTCCTGTCTAAAATACAGACTTTGTGTATAAGACATCTGACCCTGCCTTCTCTGCTTCGCTTCCATGAGTAAGAACTGGGACACGGGGAGCCACTCGCTGGCTATTTGTTGCCAAGTAACTAAGAAGAAATGTTGGATGCAAAAATGTTTTGTGTGCGATCAGGACAAAATTAATTAAAGACAAGTATTCAAAACCTAACACCCTCTTTACCTTCTTGTCGCAAACTCTGTGTTATCTCACGCTTTCTGACGACCACTGCTTGCCTATCTATCACTTTCAACCTCTCTGCATACGTAGTACACCTCGGCACATAGGCCTTTTTTGTTTGTTTATCTGTTAATGCATTCTGATAGTCTTTTCTGGAGTATTTAGTTCATCCATTTTCAATGTAATTATTGATATACTTGGGACTGAATCTGCTACTTTACTGTGTTTCCTGCATGTCTTCTGCTGGGGCTCAGAAACCAATATCCCAAAAGTAGTACTTTGACTGCTGAACTAAAGAAGCCTCAAAGTCTCTCCAGGCTCCCCCCATCTCTCAGTCTTCTGTCTCTCCCAAAGCACAGAATGAAGTTGTTCTATGAGGTTCCCTAAGCTGCCTTAAGTCTGGACCCACCAAAGAAGAAAACAATTGCTTCTCATCCTTTTCCTGAGTTTTTGTGAACTCGTATTGCTGGAAGAAAGTCTGAAGTCTGTCAACACACCTGGACAGACTTTTGTCACAAATCCTTGTCCACTCTGCGGGCTCAACAGACTTTGTCCCAGGCCACTGTATGTCCTTCCAGGCCATTTAATTCCCCTAAAAACCATTTATTACTCTCCTAAAATCATCCACACTTCCCCGTCTCCCTTTCCACTAAGAAGGGCATACAATCATCTGCACCCCATTGTGATTTTCCCCAGTGCACGTTGAGTTTGTATGCCATTTCTCCTGCTAATCTGTCTTTTGTCAGTTGATTTTCAATCTTCAGAGAGTGAGGGGAAGTTTTCCTTTGGTCCCTACACTACTCTACCTGTTTCCTCTGTTATTCCTTTCTTGCCTCTCCTTTCCCTTTTTTTGATCATTTTAGTGTTCCTATTTAATGTTCTAATGAGCTTTTGGCTGTATTTCTTTGCATTATCATTTAGTGGCTGCTCTGGAGGATACAACAGATATCCACAACTTTTCACAATCCACTTGGAGTTAGTAACGTACGGCTTCATGTAAAGGTAACTTTGGAACCACACAAGTTCATCCCTGCCCCTAGTCCTTTCATAGTTGGCATATGCATTACAGCTACGTAAGAAATATATCCTATGACATCATGTTGTTGACTTTTACTTAAAAACAATTGCCTGCTTTACAAACAATTCAGGAGACAAAAAGCAAAGAGTAAAGATAATTTTTGCACATGTCCCAGCATCTGCTGTTTCCACGGCTCTTCTTCATTCTTAGGACATTAGATTCCTATGTCTCGTCTCTCTCGGCATTTCTTGAGTTGCTGGTCTACGTAACGAATTTGCTTAGGTGACATTGTTGTTTTCTTTTTTTTTTTTGAGTTGGAGTCTTACTCTGTCACCCAGACTCCGGCCACCGCAGCCTCGACCTGCTGGGCTCCAGCGATCCTTCCGCCTCAGCCTTCCAAGTAGCTGGAACTACAGGCATGCGCTACCACGCCCGGCTCATTTTGTTTTTAAATTTATTGTAGAGATGAGGTCTCGCCAAGTTGCCCAGGCGGGTCTCGAACCCACGGGCTCAGGCAATCCACTCACCTCAGCCTCCCAAAGCGCTGGGATTACAGACTGAGCCACCCAGCCGGCTTCTTTCAGTACTTTCATATGCCGTTCATTTGCCTCTGGTTTCGGTTAGTTTTAGAGACTCTATCTTTAACAATCTCTGCCTTTTTCTTGGCTACCCTGGGATAGAAACTTACTGATGATGTTATAAAACATCCTGGTATGTAATGCCTAGCCTAACCACAAGGCTTTCTCCCAATTTACTTAACTGCAAGCCTTAGTTATCCGCCAGCAACGCCAGCCAAAAACTTTCCCTCAAGCCCTACAACTGCCCTAGACAGTCAGTGGGGTGGGCTTTGGTCTCATCTGGAGTCCCACTCTACAAGTCTCTTCCTTGGAACAAACCCGTGTTGCTGTTGCGTCACCCATCTCCCACCTCGCTTTCCCTTGACCTCATAGTCTCCATGATTTCTAAAGAGAAATCAGTCACTAATCAAATTCCCTGCATGTGATGTGCTGCTTTGCCCTTGCTCCTTCCAAGATACGCTTTTTATCTGTGCCTTGAATTTGGCTTTTTTGTGTTTATTCCTTGTGGTGTTTTTTGGGCATTCTGTATCTGTAAATTTCTATCTTTCATTGAACTTGTAAAATTCCCAATTATTATTCTTATTATTCAATTATTATTTCTTCAAATATTTTTTCCTGTTCCATTCTTCCTCAGCTTGCCTTCTATGATTCCAATTACACAAATGTTGGATGGTTTGAAATAAATTAACAAGTCCCTGAAGTCCCTATCTTTTTCCCTTGGATCTTTTTCTCTTCGTTTTTTACAATGGGTAATTTCTATTGATCTATTTTCAAGTTCACTCATTCTCTTTCCTCTGTCTCCACATTCAACTGCTACGATCATCCAGTGACTTTTTAATTTCAGATCTTGTACTTCATTCTAAAATATCCATAAGACTCTTTTCTTAAGGTTCTATTTCCCTGCTGAGATTTCCTCATTTTTCATTCATTGAGAGCATATTTTTGTTTTATTTCATGTAGGATAGTTATAGTAGTCACTTTAAAATCCTTTTCTGCTAGTTTCACTATCTGGTTCATTTCAGGATTAGACCTGGTTCATTTTCTTTTCTCTTAAAAATGTGTTGTGGCCAGGCTGAGCCTGTATATAATCCCAGCATTTAGGGAGGCTGAGGCGAGTGGATTGCCTGAGCCCATGGGTTCGAGACCAGTCCGGGCAACTTGGCAAGATCTTGTCTCTACAATAAACAAAAAATTATCGGGGTGTGGTAGCCGCGCCTGTCGTTCTGGCTACTTGGAAGGCTGAGGCAGAAGGATCGCCAGAGTCCAGCAGGTCGATGCTGGGGTGGCCGTGAGCATACCACTGCAATCCAGCCTGGGCAATGGAGTGAGACTCCAACTCAAAGAAAAAAAAAGTTTTGCCTATGTCCGAGTGCAGAATACATCACCCAAAATACTCCTTTCTGACATAAGAATTATCCCGAGCTGAAGACAACTCAGAAGAAGCAGATATGAGAAAAACTCTCTGCCTTCTCCATTTGTCTAAAAGCAGGACATAAATTTACAAATAAAGATTAACCTCTGACCTTTTTCTTTACTTTGCCAAATTCCTGAGAGGCCTGGAGAGAGGGGATTTTTA